GGGTCCATTAGAGAATGGAAATCCAAACATAATTTAATTTATATGCTTTTCATTCAACAATGGCAATCGCAAATCGGTAAAGCCTAGGCAAATCGAAATTCTATTTGCTGTGCATGTTGTAGATTGAACTATGCATAGATAAACTTTCGGTTTTAATAATTGGCATTTGAAATTGAAGCTCCATTTACGTACGAAATGAGTGTTTTGCGCATAAAATTGTTTGTTTTATGGGACTTGCTAGTTTTGTAAGCAGCATGAAAGCTGTAAATTATTAGCTGCACTAAAATCTGGCGTAAATGGAAAATAAATATATGGTACATCTATTAAAATTATATATAAAGTACTTCTTAAGTTCACTCAGCGATTGGTAAAGCCAAACATTTGAATTCTCTTATGTTTGCATGTTTCATTTCCAGTTCGTTTCCTTGACTGTGACAAGATGTAAGCTGAGAGACATTTCGCGTTGCCAACGCTTGAGCTTAGAAACATTGCCAACGATATGCAAATTTCGTTACATGTGCTTGAAATGCGTGAAAACTAACTGTGAGTTAACTATTTAAATTAAACAATTTTAAATATTGTCTTATATATTTCTTAATAATATACAACGCTTCCATAAAAAATATTAGTTTAAATATTAATTTATAAATAACATAACCATTAATAAGTTTTTTTTTTTTTTAATTAAATTATTTAAAAGTTTTCTTCTGCTTTTGCTAAATTAAAAAGTATATATATATTTAAAAAAAATAAATAAAATAAATATATGATTTTTTTAAATACAATATATATTTATTTTATTTTATATATTTATATATTAAAATATATATATATTTTTATATATATTTAATTTGATTTAACTAATTCTCAAATTTTGATTTATGCATATTTTTACTCGAAAACCCTTTGATATTTATAAAAATTCATTTCAAGTGGAATTTCCATTGGGAATTTCTCAATCAAACTATCTTCGAACTCACCTCCAAGCGTATGCGCTCCTCCTTGCTGTGATGATGCAAATGTCGCGAATATTGCGGATGTGTTGCATGTGGCAGGGGCATTGCTGCTGCTGCTGCTGCTGCTGCGGCTGCATCGACCACATCCTCCTCCAGCTGTTGTGGCATATTTACATACTTGTTATGCTTGCCATTGGCGCTGCTGATGCGCAAGTGTTTGCTATGGCTGCCACTGCTGCTCATCTCCTGCTGCTGCCGGGTCACATGATGATGATGTTGCTGCTGCTGATGCTGTTGATGCTGCAGGAGTGGCTGCTGCTGCTGCTGCTGCTGATGCTGCTTCACTGCGACGGCGACGTTTGATGCATTGCCCGGGGGCGTGGTGATTATATTAACCACAGGCGATCGAAGTTGTATATTATTGTCACGTTCGCTGACCAGCAACAAATCAGGCGGCGCACTGCATGAGGATGAGGCGCGCACCTGATGGTACATCAGCTCCTCCGAGTCTGTGGTGCATTCCTGAACTGTAAGAATTAGAGCAAGAGTGTGGGACAGAGTGTGAGTTATAGATGCCATTTTAATTAAAATGCAAAGTGGCATGAAATTGATGTCGCTGCCAGCTATATTGTTGTTGCCCCACTCATCCACCTCCCCTTCCTCGGCATTTGCCGTACTTCTTTTGGCGGCACTTTGCGCCTTTGACTTTGTCTGCTGCGGCTGCTTGCAATTTATTTGCAATTTGCAATTTGCACAAAAACGCATTACGCGACAACAAAAGAGGCAGAAAAAAATGAAATGAAATGAAATGAAATAAGAAATAAAATAAACTTTTATGCCTCAACGCCAACACAAAGCGCCAGACAAAACACTTGAAAGGCGACTGCGCCGCCTCTCGAGCATTCCTAATTAATGACGTCGTCAACTGTGAAGTGTTGTAGTCTCTGTGGCGTCGTCATCTCTGTTGAGTATATTTTTAGTTAATTGAAAATGCCACAGCTGGCCGAAGTTCTCTTCAGCTCCCTTAGCACCCCTCCATTCCCTCTCCCTCTCTCTCTCTCTCTCTGGCCATTTCATTACTCATACGCCGCATAAGCCGTGTATACCAAAAACTTAAGCCCAGCTCTGCTTTCTGCTTTACTTTTGCTGCCATCCTTTTGTTAGCCCTTTTAATTAATTAAGTAGCACACGATTTTCATTTTTTACTGCAGCTCTCGCTAAGCTGACCCAATTTCTCATTTTTATTTTTTATTTTTCATTTTTCACTCTGCACCAGGACACGCTTTTTAATTGCATAAGCATTATGCAAAAGGAGTCCCTAGCTACCCCAGCTAGTTGCTTTGTCATTTCCACAATTCAACTTGACGCGACTCGACTCGACTCGACTTGCCTCGTCTCGCCACGACAATTGAAGACAATTAGCCAAAGTGCTCTGCAAAATGAGTTGTTCGGCTTGCTTTGTTGCCCGCCAAGTGCCAGTGAGATTTGCCATGGAGTCGACCAAGTAGACTTCATTGTTTAGCCGAGCAGCGGCTGACCTGGTTCGCTTTCAACACACACACACACACAATGGAGAATATGGAATTCTGGGTTATCTGACTGCATTATGAAATGCAATTTAAGATATCAGCTAGAAGGTTAAGATTAACCAGTTGTCAGTCATTTAGATAGACTTTCAT